AAAAAAAAAAAAAAAACTAAAAAAAACCTTGAAAAACCCCAATTCTCACCATAGTGGTGGGAAAACCAATTCCTCAAAAATAAGGAAAATCCAATCACGTGAGGCTTAGGTGGAAAACAAATTCCACGAAATATTTTACCTATCAAACATGGCAAAAAGTGGAAAGTTGGAAAATATATTCCTTACAGATGTTTCTGTGAAGCCCCCACAGATCACACACACGGTCAATATTTCCACATCAAATCATAAGATACACGTGGTCAAAATTCTGCTTAAATATAAGGATTAATCCATATGTACAGAAAATATTTCATTGAAGTTTTACATGATGAAAAAAAACTCGGATCATGTTACAAGTACATAATTATTTACATAATACATTACATAATTGACATGTGGAGCACATCTATCAATAATCTACAATTTTTGACTTTTCCACACTTCACATCCACAGTCGAATTTTTTTCACATGGGCCTATGTAATATATTATGTACATATAGATTTATCCCAAAAAACCCGCCCCCACCCCCTTGTGTGGGTGTTTGTGAAACCAACCACCCCACCAAGTGTAGCAGAACTCTATAAATATAAGGAGAAAGGAACTCCGATATCCTCACTGTTTCGGTTGTAGTACCTTGTTCACCATTCAACCTTTCATTTTATCTAGTCTAGAAAGAAAATTGTGAATCTGGGTCATGGCGAACGAGATCAAGTACTTCGAGTTGAACACCGGAAATAAAATTCCCTCAGGCGGCCTCGGCACGTGGCAGTCCCAGCCTAGCGTCGTCGGTCAAGCTGTTGAAATCGCCATCAAGGTCGCCTATCGCCACTCTCTCTACATACATATGTACTCTGTGCGTGCGTGTGTAAAAATATATTGGCCGGTAAACTTATTACAGTGCTATTTTCTGCTCCTCTGCTAGAGCCTTGGAGCGGACTACATGCTTTATATCTGAAGGATTGTCCCTATGTCAAATATTTGTTGCAGCGTTTGTTCTGGTTATTTTGTTAATTTGTACTACTGTGTTAGTGCTAGCCAATGCATTAACACAGAGCAACGGCAATGCCGACTATGGTCAGATTGTTATAGGATTTTCTGGTGATTGTTGAATTATTTTGAGAATGAATCATGAAGCATGATTCATAAGAGTTGTAAGCTTAACGTGTTTGGATTTGGTCTGCTCAAGTTTGATGTCATTTGTGGTTAGCTCAGAATTTTTTTTTTTTCAAGAATACATGAGCAGATCAGATGAAATTTGATGGAAAAGTGTGGAAAAAATGTTGTGTGCCCATCCGTAGAAATGTTGGTCTGGAAATGTGAATAATTGTTTTCTGTATTTGTATAACAACTTTTAGTCGATCAATCCCTGCTGCTTTTATGCAGGTTGGATACCGCCATATCGACTGTGCTCGAGCCTATAGAAATGAAAAGGAGGTATTTTTTCATTCCATCGCTGTTATGGTGGCACAAGATACCTTTTACTCTATGTAAAGATACATTATTAGGCTGTGTGTGTTTTTATGGGTTTCTCTTCTCTTGAAATGAAAAATGTAATTCAATTTGAGGGTAGTGATTTAGTTGCCTTACTGGCAGACTGATGTGGAAAGTTCTCTAATAGCTTAAAATTTTCACACAACAGTGCCATTGGGATAATGACGCTTTTGTCCCATTTTGTATCAAGGGACAATGGGACATTTGGGGTCAAACTGGGAAACCACATTCACATGTACTATGACTATATATATGCACGTGAGACTCATCTTCTGTTCCTTCTTTGCAGATAGGTTCAGTTTTAAAGAAGCTGTTGGATGATGGAGCTGTGAAGAGGGATGATTTATTTATTACTTCCAAACTCTGGTAATCGAAACAAATATATTCAAGAAGTGATCTTTTTCTAACTTCAGTTGGGAAAATGCAGAACCCCATTTGATTGTTAAATTTTTGAATATGATTATTTGCTGCGTAAAGCTGATTGATGAAACTTGTCAATGTGAGAGACTTCAACTTGAAAGGAACTAGTTTTCCACTATAATGGATGTGTGTAATGCAATGGTACTATCACTTCTGTAATTTGTATGCTATATAGTTACAAATACTCTCTATGCACTTTCTGCTTCACTTTCTGTTTGGGTTGGGTTTGATATTAGATAGTCTTGAGGTGCTTGAACATTATATTTCATATATTGATTGCTTCATCTTACTCTTCTCTTTCACATCTGGTCTTTACTAATTGACTTTTTAAGCATTCAAGCTAGAACTTACCTCTTAACTTTTGCAGGTGTGCCGATCATGCACCAGAAGATGTACCCGTGGCATTAGATCAAACATTGGAAGATTTGCAACTTGACAATCTTGATTTGTATCTTGTACGTAATTTTTTGTGTTATTAAAATTTTATAAAGTTTTTGACTGTTTAAGAGTTAATGCAAGATGACGTTATAAGAAGACTGTGCATTAATGGAAATAATTACGCAGAATCAGCTTTTGTTCCAGAGAGGTGACCACAGTGCCATTGCCAATTTTTCACAAACATTTTAATCTATTTGTCTGCTTTCCTGGCTTTCAAAGTTGAAATATTTTGTAATAGGTGGTGCGTAATTAGCCCTTTCCGCTTTCTTCTTTGAGAGGGATATTTTGTATCTTTAATGTTGAAAAATTATATCATGGGCTAATGAATGGACCTCTCTAATTGTGAAGATCCATTGGCCTGCCCGACTGAGGAGGGGGGCTGTTGGCATGAATCCAGAAGACTTTGTTCCAGTGGACATACCTACCACGTGGAAGGCTATGGAAGCACTCTATGATTCTGGTAAGGTCCGAGCTATTGGAATTTGCAATATCTCCACCAAAAAGCTGGGTGATCTATTGGATGTAGCTCGCATTCCTCCGGCTGTTGTCCAAGTTGAGTGCCATCCGATTTGGCAGCAGACCAAACTACGAGAATTCTGTAAATCAAAGGGAGTTCACCTCACTGAGTTGGCCAAACTTGGTTGGTTACTTGATAGTTCACATTGCTCGTCTGGTTCTTGTCTTTAAGAATGATGACACTTCTCTTCTTCATTTTGATAATCATAATTGCTTGGTTCACTATTTAAGTTTAAATCTTAGTATGGTTTTACTGCTGGTTTATTACATTTTAGTTAACCTGTTAATTTTCTTAAAAGGGATATGCACCACTTGGTTCACCAACGGGGTTGTACAAGAAGCCAGTCCTCGAGCATCCTGAGTCAGTCCTCAAGCATCCTGTTATAGTTACTACAGCTGAAAAATTGGGTAAAACTCCCGCTCAGGTTGCTCTTCGATGGGGTTTGCAGATGGGCCATAGCGTAATT